AACCCTTCTCTCCTCGCTTAAACCTAGAGATTATAGGTCAAAATCAATTAAATCGTTCAAAATAAAACCTCACTGAACATCACTCTCATTACGATTATTTTGATAATGTACCAACGCATCATTTATTTAATTATTAACAAGCCAAAGACTTTTATTTTTTTTCTTCGTTTTTTTTCCATCAAAAGATTTTATCCGCTGAAAGAAAGCATCCGATCCAGCAGAAAAAATTGAATGTGTAGCGAAAGATTTTCACCACATGGAAGGAAAAAAAAACAGAATTAGTTGATAATTTGCATGCAATAACATCTTAATGTTTCATTAAAGAATCAATCAACATGCAAAAAAATTATCAGCATGTAAAATTTTCAAAAATTAATATCGAAATTAAAATTCGAAAGCCACCAGATCGGCAAGATAACAAGCAATAAGATAAGGAAACAAAACCAGATCTCTAAATTAGAAGGATAAATTCGAATTGACTTAGCACGGATCTCGGAGAAAAGCCACTGAAATTGAGATTCAAAGGGAGGTTCGAAAAAATGAAACAAAAACGAAAAAAGTTATGAAGACACCAAGCGACCAAAGGAGGGACGGACCTTATCGCCGAACTCGAACTCCGCTGACATGGCCGCGAACTCAACGGTGGAGCTCTCCTCACAGCACGAATTTGTACCGAAGAAGGATCCAGAAATTGGAAATGATCAGGAAGACCGGTCTCAGGAAATGGAGCTGACTGTATTTATAGCGGGACTGTTTTTAGGCGTTTGCCTTTATGCACAAACCTTTTTCCATGTGTCAAAGTCGAAAACCCACTTATGCCAACGGACCCAACTGTGTTGGGCTTCATGTCTGAGCTGGCCTGTATAGTAAGCCCAGATTACTTTTATCTCCTAAATTGAGTATCTGTGTGACAATTTTATTTACATGATAACCGTTTTTAACAAGTTATATCTATTTGATCACTAAATGAAATAAATAAAAATATAATATTTAAAAAAACTATTAAACTATTTAAAAAAATTTTAAAAATATTTTTTTTATTACATTCAATTAAATCCTTAACATTATTTCACATCTGCATGCCATTTTCATAATTTATCATGATATGTCAACATAACATATGACATAAAATATCAAGTTATATTAATTAATTAAACATTAATTATAAGGTTGATTTAATGTAATACAAGTATACATATTTATTTGAATTTTATTAAATAATTTAAAGGTGATTTTAAATACATATAAAATAAATGAGCAGTAATCATTTCTTTTCTTTTTTTGTTTTTTTCTGATTGACCAGTATCATACAAACTGGGCTAAGTGTTCCCAATGCCCATACATAATCCAACAATTAAATAGGGGAACAACAGAAATTGACGGCAAGATGGAAAAGAGCAGCCCAAGATGAAAGGAGAAATAAGACGTTGGAGTGAGCAAGCCCAGGGAGTTTTATCCTATGAGATGGATCACACAAGATAACATGAAAGCTCTAATGTCATTAAAGCAAGAAATCTGACGTCAAATATTCCAATCTAAAGAGGTTTGCGCACATCAATAGCCAAAACAGTGGGGACATTGAAACAGAGAAGATATTGTATATACATATTTGAAAAATCATTAGACAGGGACTGGTACCAAGAAAACATTGGTCACTATCAAGTTACACTGTTAAGAATGCTTAATCCATGTGGTTGTGGGTTAGCGTCGAAATCAAAATCCCGCAGGTGAGGTCTGACTCCTCCTGTTGTAAAGTGGAAACATCCAAAACCACCTCCCTATTCTACCCAATTTGTTGAATAAATAAATCAAAGTCTAATAGCAACTGCAGCAGTGGATCATGTTTTTTAATGTTGATCCCCTTTACCCAAACTTTTTTTTTGTATAATTAAATGATTATGAAGTAGATAGGAATCTTTATTTTCTGCTAAGAAAAACGTTCTACTAACGGGAGATGGTTCTCTACCATGGCGTAAAATAAATGGTCATAATCAATTTGTCATGATCTGACATGAGAATGGCAATGAAGAGAAGAGGGAAAGCGACAAACCCTGAATAGGGAGAGCCTTGAGTAGCATTAAGGAAAAGAAGGATAAATGAGATTCAATTCATTTACAAATTGAGGGAAGGTGTCGTGGTTCATTTCAAAATCTGCATTTTTCAGGGGTAGAGGCCTATGGGGGTTCGGATCGATGATGGAGCTGACAAGATTCTGAGTTAAAACCTGTTAAGAGGGTCGTACCGTACCCAATGTCGGGGTCAAGTCACATTTCACTATACATAAAATTTAGAGCTGGTCAGGCACTCAAGAGGTTTGGTGGTGGCTGTTTTTATGTCTGAATAGGGCGCGATGCACGTCTGCAAAAACCCATGACATCGAATGAAAACAACGCAAAATACAAGCATGGAAAAAAAAAGGAATTCCCGATGGTAAATGAGCTTTGTCTGCATATGAGGTCGAGATTGCGGGCACATGCAGGGCTGTAACAATAAACTCGTGAAAGGGGGAGTTTCGTTTGCAACTCTATTAAAATGGAAACGAGACATGAACTTGGTAAAGTCCAATCTATCATTGACCGGGATACAGGAAAAAACCAGCCATTTATCTCTGGTACAAGCTGACAGGACTCGCTGTACCTGGGCGACAGAGAGCATAAAGTTTTGGGGGCAGAATTTCACTGGCTTTTTTGCCACACGTTGAATCTGGCATAGGAAGAGGCCTCCGAGCCTCAATCTGCAACGTCAATAAGCTTGATAAACAGTGAAAGGAATTGTCCTTAGGCATCTTGAGATTGTGATATCTTTGTATTAGAGTTGCTTATTGTGAAAATTGTGCAAATTAAATAAAAAAGAAAAAAGAAAACAAATGTTTAACTTGTGTTTTGATTTCAATTGCTGCTGCTGTTGCCATGCCCGTTTGTTTGGTTTTAACCCTGGAGGAGGGGTGTGTGTGCACTATCCGGAAAGAGAAAAGCCAGCTTAATCCCCACTTTCTGAAGCAATTTTCATATTTATGCCTTTGAAAAAGATACAAAAGAGACATGCGTCTACATAAAGTCTTGAAGAAAAGGTAATCAGAACTAAGATTAGATGAACTTTATTTCATACCTTTTTCTCCAACAACCACCCCATGCAATTGCTTAATCATGTTTCTTATTACCAAAGTTGAAATAAAATTTAATGAGAATCAACTTTTCCTTTTTATCTGTCTGCGTTGGATGTCAGCAGGATGTTAATTTAAATGTAAACAAAAAATTATATAGTAGCAATTTGTGCATGAGGGCATGGAAAAGGGCAAAAACCAAACCCTGATGATAGTTTGAAATTTTATTGAAGGGAAAAGAATAATAATAATAATGATAATGATTCCTTCCTTGATTTCTTTGATCTAAGATCCAGACCAACCGCCGTTGAAGAAGTCTCATAAAAGTCAATAATAAAGAAGGGACCTTTTCTCACTATACTTTACCAAGCCTCTACTCAAACTCGTGTCCGCTTTTGACAATGGGGATTGCTTGTGAAAGCAACTAGCCAACCTTCCACAAAGGAAATACTCATCCATATTGGAGCAAGAAAGTGACTGCCACCATTTTCCTTTGTCCCCAACAGTTGTGAGTCTCCCCTCCCTTTTCTCTGATGGTACCATGGATGACATTAATATGATTAATAACACTAAATTTGCCTATCCCCAAAGCCACTGAACTTTTTGTGCTTACATTACATGTTATTGTGTCATACATACATAAACAAAAGAATAATATATATGAGTTAATAAACAAAGATTCGGGAATCCCCACAGCCCTTGAGTTTTTTGGTCTTTTTTTATTACGCCAGATCAGTACCAATGTAGCTATTTTGTGAGGAGGAACTGGAAAGGGTAATCATGCCATTGTAGTCAGATACACTGTCCTGCAAGCTCAACAATAGGTGAGAAGTGCTGAAACTCATTGAAGGCTTAGCTCTTGGGACAATAGGGACCTCAGCTTCACCCACCAGCATCTGGACCACGCTCCTCATTGTGGGTCTAGCCAGTGGGTCAGGGTGTGAACACGCTAACCCAACCAAAAGCACCCTCCTCATCTCAGGCTCATCAAATTGGCCTTCGAGTCTGGCATCAGCCACCGTTAGCAATCTCCCTTCTCTGTGCAAACTCCAAACCCATTCCACCAAATTGCCACTCACACCAACTTTTGCTGCCGCATTAGCATCTCTCTCAATCGGTCTTCTTCCGCTAGCCACCTCCAGAACCACAGCTCCATAGCTAAACACATCGGTTTTGTCGGTTGCTCTTCCTGTTAGAAGATACTCAGGAGCCAAATACCCCATTGTACCTGCAGCCACCGTGGCATCTGGCGATTTATCATGCTCAACTTGCCTTGCTAAACCAAAATCTCCTAGCTTTGCATTGAACCCTTCATCCAGCATTATATTGCTGGTCTTAACATCTCTATGAATAACCTGGTGATCACACTCTTGATGCAAATAGGCCAAAGCAGAGGCAACTCCTAACAAAATTTTCTGCCTATGAGGCCATGGCAAAGGCGTTCTGGCTTCAAACAATGCTTTGTCAAGACTCCCATTTGGCATTAAATCATATACTAATAAAATTTCCCCTTTCTCATGGCACCATCCTTGCAACCTTACAAGATTTCGATGCCTAAGAGTCCCAATTATTGACAACTCAGATAAAAACTCATTCTTCCCTTGACTACTATGACTACATCTCTTCACAGCCACAATGTCGCCATTATCCGGCAAAATACCCTTGTACACAGTCCCAAATGCACCGTGACCAATTATTCTATTAGCATTGAAGCATCTCGTAGCTGCTTTCAGCTCTTTATAACTGAACTCTTTTGGCATTTTGATAATCTCCGATGCAAAAGACTCAGATTTCTTCACATGCTTGAACTTTTTAGAATAAACCCATATAAGAGCCCCAGCAAACAAGGCTAAAAAGAAAGCTCCCGCAGTTACCACTCCTGCAACCGCCCCTGGACCTTGCTTACAGAGCTGGTTATGACAAGAAGAAGAAGACTTACTACTCTTCTGTTGAGTGCTGGTAACCGAATCAGAACCTGAAGGAGCCAATGAAGGTGGCGGTGATTTAACAGAATTAGCCGTTGGGTTCATTAAACTAGCCGTTGGAGGCGGAGGAGAATATATTGACCCTGACCCAGAACCAGAATTTGACTCAAAAGATGCGCTAAAACTCCACCATTCTATACTATGAACCTCCGTGCTTCCTTGGGTTGAGCCTGAAAATCCTACGTACATGAAATCATTGACATATTGATCAAGATTTAGCGCAAATGATAACATAGGCTCCTTAGGCTTTAAATTTGAGTAGGAAACGGAGATGTTAAAAACTCCAATCGAAGCGTCGTATTCGATCCATGAATTAACGAGATTGCCACTCTTTAGATCAATATCCAAAGCTGCCAAGTCACCAACTTGAGAAGAAACCACGCTGTTGAGATCCAAGCCAACGTGGTTTCCATTAATGTCCTTGAATTCTACGTCCATGAGAGTGTCGAATTCCACCGCGACGAAACCCGAGGCCTGACCCTGATCATCGAGGAGTCCCAAAGAGCCACCGCCGGCGCCGACGAAATCACCATCAGGGGAAATGACAAAGGCTAAACCGCCGCCGATGGAGGAAGGGTTGAGGTTGGTAATGGAGAAGGAGAAGAAGGTGGAGAAGCTACAAGGATAGTGAGTTCCCGGTTGCCTGAATCTCACCGGTTTCGAGTATAATGCTCTGCCGGAGCCGGAGTAGGGTACTTGGAGGTCGCGAGTGAGTCTCACGCTCCCATTGTTTAAGTGAGCATCTCCAAGGAGTTTCAGGCTGCTGAGAGTTAACGTCCCGAAATCGAACTCGGTCGTTGCAATGGTTTTGTTGAAGTTTAAGACAACACAGAGGAACAGAGCAAGAGAAACGGATGTGACCTTGTAAGAAAGTGGCAACATTATTGTTCAGTTTCTGGTTATTGTCGAAACCCCATTAGCAAAAGAAAAGAAAAGGAAAGATATCTATTTGGACTTTGGGGATGAGATTTGTCAGAAGAAGAAGAAGGGATGTTGCAAAATTCACGAGCTTTGAGAGAGGGGGAGGGACGGAAGATGGGGGAGGGTATATCTCCTTGGCTTAAAAACAGAACAAAGTTAAGGAAACAAACAAGGAATACTGTGAGGGACAGTGAGAGAATCCAAGGGAGATGAGTGAAACACGACAGGTGGATCGGTAACGCGACACGTGGTTTTTGGCAACGGTTATTTTCTTTCCCGGCGACTAAAAGAAGAAAAAAAATATACTAAAAAGATGTAAGCTTTTCTTTTCACACTCTCGCTCCTTTTGCAAGGAACTCTGCTGCACGTGGCTGTCAAAATGCGTGGGCTTCACGCTCTGATGTATAACTTTGGCTGCGGCCTGCGAAGATGGGGGAGGATGGCTTGTTGATTCAGTCATCAAGGAGTTTGCACTGTTCGCAGGCTGCATTAATTACTTGGTTCATTACTTAGCTTAATTAAATCCAAATTAGTGTAACTAATTAGTAACATATTAAATGTGGTTTTTAGCATTCTAATGACCCAATATATGAGTTGTTCTTATTTGTTGGTATTTAATACTTTGCTAAACACTGGATCATCTAAAGGAGTCGAGTCTTGTATTGCTTGATTTTAAGAGTTAATCATTTAAAATGATAAAAAGGTCATTTTGTTAAATGATTGGAAATTAAAATAAAAGGTTAAAACAAAAATAATAACAATATTATTATCCGACCAATTAGAATCTGACGAGTGCTAGAGAAAAGCTTTTAATACCCAAAACATTTCACAATTTTGAGAAGTCTAGGCAGTTAGAAATGACTCTACACCAATACATGCCGGATATGTGGCAAAAATTTCATCGGCCGTAAAGCGTTTTGGTCGCCTAAGGAATTAGGAGTTTGGATAGGAAGATTTTTTCAGCCAAAGAAAGTTTGACAAGTGGTGTACATGCTTTCGAGGAAGACTCTACCAATATAGGATTTTGATTGGATTGTCAGACAACAGTGAATTTAAAAAATTATATGAAAAATAATTAAAAATTAATTCTAAAAATAATTATATTATATATTAAATATTATTTTTATAATAATAAAAAAATAAAAATTAAAAAGTGACAATCGCTTTCTTAATTTTGTTAGCGTTAACGGATGTATACTTAGTTGATAGATTCATAGACGTCTAGTTAATAGAAATAGTTACTAACTTGGCAATGATATTACTAAAGATTAAGGGGCATATGTTGACCTGTGGTTAAAATTAAGGTGAAAACTACTCGAAAGAAGCAATTAATCAATGGTAAAATTGTGAATAAATCGAAGAAGGCACCATTTGGTTGAATGCACAAGCACAACTTAATTCAACAACTCAAAAACCGAGATTCAATTATCTAAATCCCTTGAATTTTCATCTTAGTTCCCTAGTTGCCTTATATAGTTACTTCTTTCATGCTCTTCCATAGCATTTTCCATGTTTCAAGTATGTTTACCATAGACACTTTGTTATTTGATGAATTTGTGAAAACTCTTTGAGTATTTGTTCCCTCAATTAATGAAAACTCAACACATTGACTTTGAAGTTTTTACAAATCTCACATTTTAAACCTTATTCATTTGAGTAATACATATATTGTGGTTCATTTTAGTTACAATTCAATCCGTCATTTTTTTTTTTGGTGTTTTCTTACTATTAAAGTAGTATTTTGATCATGCACTCTTGATGTTTTTTAGCTTTGTTGCAACTTCAAGATGATTTTCGACTTTAAGAGGATGTCTCTTTTACTAATTAAAACATTAGAACTTAGAAAGTGATGAGCTCTAAAAAATAATTCACATTGTAGTTTTTGAATTTTTCATGTTGTGTAAATTTCAAGTGTCTCATTAACAAATCACATTTTCAAATCAACTTGGTTTTAATTCCATCCTAATTCTAAGGGTTTTCTAAGGTTGTGGTGATCCTTACACACTTATTTTCCATGAAAATTTTAATTTAATTGTATGTATATAAATAATCAGTGATAATTTGCTTGATTCCAAGGAGTAGTACTGATTCCTTACTTTCTTGGTCCATTTGCATTTACCTTTTTTATTTTTATTTTGGGGGTGTAATTTGGATATACATTTATGAGAAAATATTTTTGCTTTGAAAGGTTACATTTACCTTTCTATATACAATTTTTGACATAAACTTAATCAAAAAATATCACACTAAAAAATTTACTTATCAATTTAATTAAGAAAATCATTTAAAAAAAAAAAGAGAGTAGGTAATCCAAGGTGGGGTGCATTCTTCAACCTTGAACTCTGACTTAATTACCTAGTAAAAGTTGTTGCCACATAAATCAGTAGTAGTATATTTTTGCAACTAGAACATTTTTAATCCACAGCCCTACCATTGAGACTTTTCATTACCCTTTTTTCTAGAGAAAACAAGATTAGCTGCACATTTTCTAACACTCAATGACCCACATTTTCTTTCCAAAATTAAAAATGACCCACATTTAACCCTTTTGGGTTTTAAAGCTATTCCCATTAATGATCACATAAATAGGGGAAAAAAAAATTTCAATAAATTGGGTTCGTGTCGACACGCACTTTAAAAGGAGCGTGGGCCATCCTTTCACCCAATCTCTAAGCTAGACAGTCAGTTAAACAGAACAAAGTGCACGTGACTTTAGTCAAAGAAAAATACTTTTTACGCCATTGCCATTGCCGACCAGACTCGGTCTAATCTAAAGCCTCTATGGTGGCTGTATTGCATTTAATTACAAAATTGCCCTACTAAAAATAACTTTGGTTAACCGGTTAATGTTATTTCTTTTTTTTTTAATCCAAAGAACTGATAATTCAAAGATCACCAGTTAGATAATACTGTTTTTTTTTAATCAAATTTGATTATTTTATTTAATATTATAAAATTTGATACAAAATTTCAATTACAATAAAAAATATGATCAAAATAGATTATATAAACAAAAACTCAATAAAATTTTATCAACATAAACACATCTTAAAAACAAATTTTCATCTTAAATTGTATCATTACAAAATAAAACATCCCACAAATAAACCAACAAATGAACATGGTCAAATAGTCATACAACCTATAAATCTAGGAACAACTCACACCATAAACATAAAACATAAAACAAAATTATCACTACCAAGAAATATCTCCACCATCTCGGAAATCATCAAGAGCAGAACACAGTGAAAAGAACACTACAAAACACCATCAACCCTAGAGTTTTCAAGGACAAAGCGCACAAGTGAGATAATATTAATGAAGTAAATAGTTTTAAAATGTATATTTATTAAAATTTACCTTGATAACATAGTTAAAAATAATTTAAGTCAAAGTTAAGAAAAAAATTAGCCTGAAAAAATCTGATCAAAATATTATATATGAGACGAAAAGAGGTAATTTATCTTATATTAAACTTGAAATACCTTTTTACTAAAAAAGGAATCTTATCTTAACTTGAAGATTTGAGAAATTTATCAACCATAAACATCCTTTTTCATTAGAAAACTAAAAGAAAATTACCTAAGGTGGTATGGAATTACCATTATTCATAGTTAGGTTAATTTTGAATATATGATTTCTTCTAAATTGCATACATCTTATCCTAACATAAGCAATCATAATTATCATGAAGAAAATTACAAAAGCTGCCTAAACTGCGCACTAGGCATAATCTGCCACGTCATCTTTCCAAGTCACCGCATTGAAATCAACGAGAGCCCCCTGTCACGGCTTTTTTTGGAAATTTTGCGTGAGATGGAGAGTTTTTCAACTTACGAGTTTGATCTGATCACTTTCACATTGATTGCTGCGCTGGACTGTAGAAAATCGATGCCATTTTTTATTTTTTAATGGACAGAATGGAACATAAATGTATTATACTGCATGTGGTTGGGCCCACAATTCAAGCCCACTTGATCTGGGCCCTACGTTAGGTGGGCATGCACGAGCACTAGCACGAGACATCCAATCATTGATGATTTGTCCTTACGTTGCATCGGACGGCCCCGGTGGAGCCATGGGAATGGAGAACTTTCATTTAGCTTGCAGATCAAACATCAAGCCTTCCATTTTAGGATCACATTTTTAGTCCATGATTAGTCATTACTTATTACCCAATGAATGATTTTTCTATTTTTATTCAATTTTTTTATTTACTAAAATTGTTAAGAAAACGTAAATCTAAAGACACATACACTGAAGAAAATTCTTCCTTGAAATAGTTAATTGGGGACCCGGGGTACCATTTGGATGTTACCTCTAGAATTTGCTCTGTTTTATGTTGACAAACTATTGTTGTCAGATTGTCATCAACAGTGACTGAGAAAATAAATCATATTGTTTCCTTAAAATTGTTTCAAAATTAACAATTATTAAGTGTTTTCTTTGTACTAATTATGAACAAGAGTTATGTTTTTCTTAATACTAATTTTGATAGTACAATAATGTCGTGGTAGCTGGAGATGGTTTCATTTTAATACTATAACTTTTATATATATCCAAGAATTCTATTATCTACAACACGTTTTCTTTTTTGGTGTTTTCGCAAACAACATTTTTTTAGACTGTGCTGAACTATGAATATCAAATTGGCTAATATTTGTTTTATTTCAATTAAAACATGGGTCTTGGGATTGGGATTTGGATTTTAGGTCATTATTATTTATATGGCACAGGTTTTACGTTAATAAAAAATAAGATAAGTTTTGAATTTATAAGTAAAAATTTTTTTTTACATGATAAGTACGTTGTTGAGTTAAAAATATAGACTTGTAATAAATAGTATCAAAGTGTTTATAACTTTTTACTGATTTAGAATTTTTACGAGAGATATCAAAGTTAAGGTAAGTTAAGATTACAGTGAGTCATTCTCATATACGTGCGAAAGAGTTAGTATAAAATTGAATCATCCACGGGTAAAAAGTCAATGCCAAATAAAATAGGGTAGAATATTACGGATTCTACACTATTGAAAAAAATATGTGTTTTAAATTTAAAAATAAATATTTTCATCCAGCTAGTGCATACTCAATTTTTTCTTGGGCTGGACTTGCCCTTCTTTTGGACCGTATTGATGGAAACTAGATAGGCCGAGGCCACCAAAAAGTAAAGACATAGCAAGAAAAGGGCTAGGCCGGGGCCCATATAATCACAATTATCAGAAAGGTTTATTGCATCGCAAATATATAACTCGTAAGATGCAAGCACGAAAACGAAAACTCTTCCTTTCTTCTTAAGCATGCTAAAAGGAAACTTCATTGTTTATTTTAACATCATAGTGTTAATCACTGTTCACATAGCGGCAATCCTTTCTAACCTCTGCTTGATCTCCTGTAAGTGGATTATTCTCGGATAACAACAGCACAGCTCTTGCGAATTGGTCATGGAAATATCCGTTATCAGCAGCCATTTTCTCCACAAAAGGGGACGTGGTTGGATCAGATGTCAACTGCTGATCTACCAAGAGCAGTCCCTTGTGCTCCAGCAAGTTCCTGTAGTACATATTGTCAAGAATCATTGGCGTTTTACGGTCGTTTCTTGCGTATAACACCGCCTTCGGATCAGGGTCCGGTGATGGGCACCTTCCTTTGAGGTACTCGCCGTAGTGAGGGTCCAATGTTGGATCAACCGTGGGGTAGAGCCTGTGCACGAAATTTACACAGTGAACTCGGCCTACCGAATGAGCTCCTGCATAAGAATAAGACAAGTTTACGAACTCAATTGAATTTCAGTGAATGGATTATACATTAAAGGATTTTGTTAGGGATAGAGTGCTCTCAAGACCCTCTTTACAATTTTTATATTAAGTAATATCTTCTCTCAACGTTAACCCTCAAATACTATTTTTAATATAAGACTATTGTTATAAATAATAATTTAATCTTAAAATGTGTTTTTCCTTAGCAAAGTTTATATGAATTAATGAAGTTGGGTATTGAGTCAGTTAAGTGGTTGTAAATTAAAGCAGAATTTTTTTTTATGTGTTAATTGCAGTGAAAGGGCAGAGAAGATGCTTTCATGTACCAAATAAAGCTACTGTTCCTTCGGTGTCAATGCCAATGGATTGAAAGCGAGAAAGCACCAATTCCATTGTATCATTGTGGTTGGGGATGGTACTCTCTACCTCTGTCAGGTAGCTTTCCTTGCTATCTTTCCTGCCAGTTTTCATTTCAATGCGTGGTCCTCCAAGCTGTAACATATTATAAGCCATAGCTTAAACGTTTGTAACTTTACTTGTATTAATTAGTACTACTTTATACAATTGATTTTTGGGAGAGAAAAAGGAGAAATTCAGATTTGAGAATACGCACCAAGACAATGCCATCTCTAGCAGAAAGAGAGACGATGTCAGCACAGGAAACTGTCATTGGACATTCTTTCTCAAGAGCATGTTTGATTGTCTCAACGTACTTGAAGTTTCTCATCCCAAAACTCCTATCGGATAGTTGTTCTGACTGGATTCCATTCACTGTCTCCAACAACAGGGATGCATCGCATGACTACATCGACAAAGCAGCTTCGTTATTCTACTAAGACTAATATGAATCGCCACTAGTAATACTTGATAATATAGTAGTAATTAGTATACATACCTTCACCATGCAGTCATGGAAGAGATTCCTAACCCAAGAAACAGCTGTATTTCCATGTTTATCGTACAGCTTGGTGACTTCTTGTTTGATGATCTCTTCAGCATTTGGGCAACTTTCAGCATAGTAGTTCAATTGGAGATCGCTTTTGCCTGCATCAAAAATCAACAAAAACTGTTTGCATTAGTAATTCTTCCATTTTTGTCACCTTAGAATTAGTTTTCATTCAACATGGAATTAAATATTGCTATAGGTTACGGTCGTAGTACACCATCGTGACATGAATCTATATTTCTAAGTAATTTAAAGGGTTTTGTCCCTGTAATAAGAACTTAGGAAGGAAAGATATTGGGTTTGTGTCAAAAGTAATTGTCTTGATAAAAAAAAAAAATTCAAGCTTTACCTTAAGAATTAAGATTTTTACTCATATCTCATTTCATATTTATTACTTGAACATTGAAGTTCTAACTTAATAATAAAGATCTCTGCTCAAATCTCACCTCACTTATCACTTAAGTTTAAACTTCCCTCAAACTTAATAATGGGATATATGTAACCACTAAAGTCTAGCGTCCGTTTAATTACTGCTATTAGATCATTTTTTTTTTGTTGAAATGGGAGAAAGGGTTTGAGTCTTATTCTTTAGATAAAAAAATTATATATCAATCAATAAATTAAATGTTTGAGTGTTATTAGACCATACTCTTGATCACATGAATATAAGGTTATACGAGTTTGATGGTATGAAACATATAGCAATAAAACATTAAAATGAATGAAACAAAGTACCTAAATGAAACTGTAGGAGTAACGGTAATAACAGAAATATAAAGCTTGAGCAACAATGGTGTCTGCAGGTAGCCATCTTTTCTAGCATTTAGCTTCTTTCTTTTCTCTTGCCTTGTTGGTGTGATCAAACTCTAAGAATGTCCCAAGGCTTATATAGAAAGAGCAAGAACAAAAATAAGAAAGCCCTCTCCACTACGCCACTTTCTTTGACCTTTGGGCCACTTCCTCTCCTCACGCCGTCACGCGGGCGGCACCCCACCCACTACGAAGCAAGTTTTTCCTCGGTGTTTGCTGGATACATCAATTTTGTCATCGTTCACATCTTTAAGCATCCTATCTTGAATTCGCCATTGAATTTATTTATGGAATTATTTGATTAAGAAGAAAAAGAAATTGTTGGTTTCCTCATTTATAGTTGGTTCCGTAGAGTTTTTAAATTAATTGCTTAAAAATAAAAATAAAATATTGGTTTTAATACGGTAAGTTCTTCTAATTTCTGTCCACTATAATGCATGATTTGTTATTATAAAACTGAAATCTTGCTCTGCCAAATCAATTATGTCGATGCTGAGACCCCATCTAGAAGTCTAGAACTATATATAATATATATGAATAATTCATATATACCATTGTTTAAATTGCTGAATGCTTACAGAATTAATTAGTTCACATGCAGCTGCTCCATCTCCATGGCCAAAAGAGAAGAACATAATTAATTATATATAAAAACTATTATATATAAAACAAAAAAATTTTATGAAAAAAAAGAGGGGAAAGTTCTTGAGCAATTTAGGGAGTCCTATTTCTTACACTTTCTAAAAGAAGTTACAAATTCCACTTTGATGCATTGATGTTCATTTTTGAGTACATTGTATCTGTTAAGATATTTGATTTAAAATAGTAAATGCATATATTTTTTGAATATAGAATTAAATTTGATCATTAAGATACAAGCAAAGAGTTTGAGTTTTTGGTTACGGAGAACGTCAAAGAGTATGAGTTTGGAACCGAACCTTGAAAAGAAAGAAAACAACACAATATTTAGGTAAAAGAAAAAGAGAGCTGAGTTTAGGCATCATGAATTTTATATTAATAAAAAATATAATAAATTTTTTTTTATTAGATAGTCGTGTTTTTGAATTGAAAATATAAATATGTGATAAGTGGTATAAAATTAAATCTATCCAAATCTTCATTGATTATGTAAAATCTCTCGTAAAAGATATCAAGATCGAAATAGACTTAAATCAAGATGAATCTCTCTTTTAATAAGTGAAAGAGTAAGTGTAATAAGATAAAATGTTATGAATTTTACATTAATAAAAAATGAAACGGGTTTTGAGTTAATATATAAAGTTTTCCTTCACTTAATAAATGTACCTTTTAAATTAAAAACATAAACTTATAATATAAACATTAAATAATATTTTAATGTCGAATCAGAAGTGAGTATAGCCACCCCATTGCCGTCCGAGGTAGGTGGCAATAAGCATGAATATGTGGATATAGTGCTACTTTGTTTATCTTTTAATTATGTTAACAAGATGGAGGAAGTCGAGACGTAACTATAAATAAAGTAATTGAGTAAATTTTAACCTCTGAATATGGAGTCCCATGTCACCCCCCATTCACTAAATCCAAGTGGATTTGTGTTATTATTGGATAGAAAATAAAACCCACTACTTCTCTTACACACACATATAAAAAAACATTGGCTTTTGACTTAGAAGAGATAGAAATAATTGGTTTCAAAGTGATTAGTGGGAGATCCAAATAATTTAAAGTAGTGGTTTATATTAAGAGAGAGCTTATGAAATTTTTCATCATATATAATTATAGACGTGTTTATATATATATATATATATATATATAATTTTTTATTATTATTCTAGCTTGAAGATCGATGAATTTAAAAGCTTAAGCAAAGCTTCATGTGAATATGACATAGCAATTCCTCATTAACTAATATTTTTATGTGGATGTGGTATTAAAATTTGTCAACGAGTTAGAGTTAAATCATTTCTAAAATATTTTAATACAAGTTAGTGGTGAGAATAATTTGTTCTTGAATTTTTTTAATACTTTTGTTATGTATTTTCTTCTTATTCCTTACTCCTTTGACTATGCATAAGAGACTGGCAATTCTAATCTATTTGGACTGCATTATTATTATTATTATTATTTTTTAAAAAAATAAAGAAGGACCACGAAGAAATGGATAAGCATAGTTGACATCACAGATAATAATTGAGTGCTTTTCTATTTTAATAAATTTGTTTGCTGCTTTATTAAGACATTAGCCTATGGTTTCTTGGGACTTAGAAGTTAAACCCAATTATAATTCGGGTTCCATTCTAGACACCGAGGGCTGTTTCTTGAGTTATTTAGACTTCGGCCCATTGCTTGTTTTCATTCGACTCTTCCTGAATCCATTCGTTCTTCGTCACTGCAATGGTTCTTTAGACCTCGGCCCATTTCTCTTTTTCTGTCGAACCCATAGAGCAATTTGTCATATTTTTTACTTTTGTTTCTGCGTTTGAGTATGTCTAACAATTAATAAAATATTTCAATAGTTAATTTCAATCTGTACAAAGAGCAATAACAATAATTAGACTAAGCTTGGATTACAAGTTCAACCATTTTACTATTTAGTTGAAATATGTCAATATTGCTTATTGTTGGGGGCTCATTGAATAAGCCCATTTTCTATCCTCCAACATGATCATAGTGTTAGAACATAGGATTACAATAAATATGAATAGTATAATGATTTGAAGATGTGTATCGATGTCATTGTTTATAAAATTTTATTTGTTTCTTTAATAGTGTGTAAAAAGTTTATAAACGATAAATTTTGAAAATACAATGAAAACTAATGATTGATTATGTTTTACATTTACTAAACCAATTCACTGAAGAATTCCATTTAAAGACAATTACATATTTGTTTTCTATTTGTTTGTATAGATATAGTTAATAGTTAATTAACAATCAAGACTTGAAAAACCTAACCATTTTCCAATTTGATCTTTAGTCCACTTTAATTCAACTATTAACTTATGCTTATTAAAAACGTCCAACACATTGATTCAGAGAAACAAAGATGAGGCCTTCCACTACTTGGCCTGGCAACAGGATTGTTTGTGAGGCATGTACGCTTGAGTTCAGACCCAAGCAACCCCTCCTCCATCCCCAATAGTTAACTTGTTAAGAAGGATAACAAACAAACAAAGATGAGATAGTTTGAACTTTGAAGGAAGTATGAAGTACTTTAACTGACAAAGAGGGTTTGTAGAGGGCATGTTGTCCACAAATGCAAGTTGTCCTGTCCGAGAGTGGTTTGTAGAGGGCAAATAATTCTTTCACCTTCCCAAAATAACCCAGAAAAAGGAAAAAAAAAATACATTCCCATGGTATGATCTGCAGTCCACAGAGTACTAAGTTGTTTTCTTAGCTAGCATGGGACGACATGTTTAAAGCTGCCCCAGCCAAGCGTAAAATGATTAGGAACATGGCAAAGTAAGAATGTAGGACAATAAGGATAGGAATTCGTGAAAAGCTATCCCTTTGTCCCCTGATTTGATATGTTACAACATTTGATTTGGAACCTGATTAGACTTAATGTGATGTATATAAAAAGACCTGGCCTCATAAGAAAACAATGATCTAATATGTATGGGCATGGAGAACATGACAGCAACATCTCACTTGAAAACAAACAAAGAAACAACACATGAATAATGCAGCTCTCAAATCAAGTGAAGACAAAACAAAGGATGGAAACAGTGCAATGGGGCTCTTGGCTGCAATTAGAAGCTATCTTTTTGTTATTCTATATCAACCCAGAACATGGTAGGACCGTCCTGATCATCTTCCTTTTTGTTGCCTTATCTCTTCAGCAATTCGGATGACTTAGTAGAACAAAAGAAGAAGATCCTACTTCTGCATTTATCTTAATCAGAAGTAGTTAAAATAGGTGACAGAAAGAGCATTTGGCTCATTGTTTATTTATAGTATACTATCTCATTACAAACTCTTTTTTTTTTACAGTTGCAGCTATGTAGTTGTTGTTTGCTAGATTTGACAGGCTCTTTTCTATGGAGTATTTGACAAGATTTTACACTTAGCATTCCTGCTGAACCACAGATGCAACAGTCCTAGCCCAAAACTTGAGATGTTTCTTCATATCAGCAGCGGCATAGACCCTCGGTACCCTTAGATTCAGCAATGGAGAATCAGGTCTTTTAATCAGCCAAGCCTCTGATAAATATGGTCTAACAACACCGGTCTCCTCTGGTTCAATATCATCATCTTTAGGTAGTTCATCAGCAGCAAGATTCAGTTCAGTTTTCTGTTTAGTTTTGAGAAATCCAAGTCTGAGCAAGCCAGGGACAACACTAATCATTCTTGCATTTAAGTTTTCTTTCTTGAATATAAAACCAAGATCCATGAAACCTTTTACTTCTTCTAGTTCCAAATCTTTCAAGCTCCTACAACTCATGGATTCTTGCAGTTTACCCCCAGGTGAACATGAAGTTGAGTGTCTGTGATTCCTCTGACGTTTTTGGGTTGACGGTGATGAAGAATGTGAACGACTTCTACTACGGCTAAGACTCACTCTTGTTGGTCTTTTCTTCGCTTCTTCCTCTCTTTTAGAATCATCCTATAATTTGTCATCATAGAAACAATACCAAAATGAAAAAAGCAAAAAAATAAAAAAAAAAGTTGGTAACAGCCTGAACTTGGAGACATATATTTGAAGATTGTTGAGGAGCATGGGTGTTTATGTTTTTATTACCGGTGGAGTTAATGGAGATGAAATTGCTGAGTTTTCTTGGTCGGGGAGAGGAGACACGGCCGTTGGGATGTCACCTGGTAGAGATGATAAAGAGAGGCTTGATGATGGGCTTGTAGACGTAGTGGTAGACTCTGAGTTGGGCTGCTGTACTGGTCTGAGGGTTTTAGGGAAATATAGTGAAAAGGGCTCTGGGAACAGAATAATTTGGTGAAACCAAAGACGATCCATGGCTACCACGAGACATAAGGAGAGGTTGTCAGCCATGGAGAGAGAGAGTGTTGTGGGAGGTGGGGGTAGAGATATAGAGCGGGAGAGAGGTTATTTAAAGGGAAAATATGAGTAGTTATCAGCATCATCAATGAGGGGAGGGTCTGTGGTGGTGAAAGAATAAGCAAAAGCAGAGGAATATAAAGGTTAAGTAGTGGAACCTTGGACAATGGAGGATGTGGTCATGAACCTGGATTCCTCCAAGTCCACATCTTTTACTAGCTCAATGACCCTTGGTCCCATGCTTGATGTGGATACTATTTGTTGCATTCATTTAACTCAATTTCAGGGTCATATCCAACCACAGGATGCCATGATAGACTAATAGTGGACCCCCAAAGTGGTCCAAAACCAATCTAGAACAAGCAGGTAGCATAAACTCTCGCAATCCTTGTTTATAATGGAGAAAACATTTATGGTGCTGTTGTCTTAATCATACATGAGGCATAGCTTGCAATCTTTTGTCTCCCTCTCTATTCCCTCATAAAACCTTCAAAAACTTCAAATTAATGTGATTTAATTGAAGCTTCAATTGGGCCAAACCACGTGAGAGCAAATGTGAGACAGATTCTTTCAAGAAACATCTACTAGATACCTGACTCAACCTTTTTTAAGTTTTGAAACTATGCTATGAATCCAACAAGTCGATACAAGTTCGTTCTAGTGCCATTTTATTTTTGGTCCTGTCTTATGTTGTATCATCCTGAAAGGTATATTACTGATTTACAGTGAATTCTGGCAGTAAGGGCCTTAATATTACACAATCAATCCATGTAAACTTTGTCATTACACTATGAACCAGAAACTGGCAGATGCAAACCTCTTTTAAGTGACCGATGTGTGCCTTTTTATGATTGACATAGATCAGGGCATCAGAATAACTTTTTAGACAAAACTGATCTCCCTCTTGCCAGTGGTATGGCTCCATTTTCTCTCCAATCTACCCTTTCCTCAGCATTGGCCTATCTAGTATGACTGGCTGAAATGGACCACGAGAGGAACCTGCTTCTACTTTCACTATTTTGTCTTGTTCTTCAGTGATTCCCCGTTTGTTAGATAAGTAAATGCTTTCAGTCAATGAAGGGCCTGCGAGTGGGAGAGAAGCGAATTCGGCTGGACTACCCCTTCTCGGGCTCCATTCTGTTGACATAGAAGTGTGAGGAGATTGTAGAAGTTCTTGTCTCTTCCTTCTCTCCCTCACATCGGCATGCCATTGCTTGATGATTTTGGTCATTTGATCATCTAATACCTTACCCTTGAATTTTGAACCCATCTGTATACAAACAAGATTAATAATAGCCGTGTTATATTACTAGTGGTGAGTCTCAGAACTAGAAAACATTGTTTTCAGTGGACCTTTACCTGTGTCACAAGTGCATATAGAGGAAGTGTAATATAGCAGCAAAGGACTTGAACTGTGATCCTAAGGAAATCAAGAAAATGAAGATCTTAGAAGTTAATCAATTGCAAAGTTTTAGATCCTCAACTAGTTAGAAACAAAGTAATTCTTACGCTAATACAATCCTTGTGGCAGTGATTGCGGTGTGCTCATGGTAGCAAGAATCAAAACCAAATAGGACCTGAGAATGAAGAAAAGAGATGACAGTTGAAAACAGAACTATAAGTTGCACAGTCTGCAAGATAAAATTTTAACATTTAAAGAGGAAAAGCAGAGTAAGGTTGGATTTACTAACCATTACCCAAATGAAGAAGGCAAGCTCGAAGGCGTTCTGAAAAACAAGCATCAGTTAGTTCAAATTCAAAGAGTTGTCAGGTAAATAGTTTCACTTGTTTCATTTTCCTATTACATTCTATTAAGAAAAGTTACCACAAATAACGCGAAATGTAGAAGAGTAAGAACAAATTGCGGCCGTCCAAACCAGAACAGTTCATCTTTTGGTTGAACTAGAGGGGTTCCCCTGATCACTCTGTTTTGATTGTTGATTTGAAGAGCCATTCGTGCAACAATGACCTCAAGTTTGGTTCCCACAGTTAACACTACCTATAAATCGAGAAAGAATTTGTGAAGACTATACTTGGACCAGAAGAAAATTACAGAGATGCAACTTTTTACACTTACCAGGAGGGGAACATAAGATAACCAAAGATATGCGTGCCAGCCTGATTGATTCCAAAAACCAGAAGATCAAGACATAACTATATAAAGGGAAACAAAGAAAACAAAACACTCACCGTGCACGTCAACAAGCATCAGGATAACAACAACGAACCACATAAGGGGGCTGGCAAAGAGACAGAGTTCCATGTATATTAGCTGATAGTTCAGAAATTGCCAAAGAAGATTAAATATAATTTTCCGGATAAGTCTTTAAATATTTATGTGTTGGCTCATCAGGATTCAAGAAGATTAGATTTATAGATTCAAGAACCTGAGGCTGACCACAATCTTGAAATCTTCATCCAAGGATCGCTCTATGTACTTCTGGAAATCGAAATTACTATACCTCCCGACAAGTGAGCCTGAAAGGTTCATGGAACAATGTATCGATTTAAGTATTAAGGAAAGCATTTCTTATGCTATGTATGCCATAATCAACCTCCATATTTGGAAAAAGTAGCTTGTTTACCGAGATGAAGCCATGCCTTAAAGTCATATAATCAACTTTGGCTACTGAATTAAAGAACTGTCTGAAGAAACATTTCTGCTCCAATTCACAACCATCCAGAGCAATTTATTAATAGAAACACAACCGCAAATATATTGTACTGTTTTATTGGAAAACGTTAATAGTTTATAGAAATAGAATGGCCACTCACAATCCAGAGCTGAATTGATGTTTCTGTGCAAGTAGAAACGTGTCGTCTTCCGAATGTTGTTTGTCTTGTAAATCTGAACCTTTCAGGATCTAGTGAACAGGAGAATTGTGAGAGAGAAAGACAACAGCCCAAAATCTGTTAATCTCTTACACTTGAAAAAAAAAAAAGAAAAACAGGGAAACAGGTAAGAGTTCATCATCTATTTCTTAAGTTCAATCCAATCCACCAAGTTGGTATCAACTATACGAACAACGCATCCAACCTTAAACCAATGAGTCATAAGGGAAAACTGGAGAGCCTTGTTTGTTATATTTATGTGTCCAACTAAGTTATGTGAGGATTGTCTTTTCTGATACCCTGGTAAAATTTTAGGATGTGTATGGTTATGGGTGGAGACCTTTGGTAGCAGCATTTTTTTTTTTTTTTTCCCTTTTTTCTTTCCTCCCCTTCCTTTCTCTCAAACTGATATGCCTCTACTTCTGCGCCATCAGCCTCCCTTTCTTCATCGTTGGCTTTTGCCTCTCCTTTTCTGCCTGTACTCTTATTGCACCAAAACACTCTCTCTTCCTCTTCTTTCTTCTCATGCTAATACCTCTCTTTCTCCCTTTCCTGTAAACCCTTTCTTTTGCCCAAGCTATGTAGATTTGGCTCGTGGATGGTTGTGGATTTATGCCACCAGTGTGTATAATCCCAAGTTGTTGAGAATTTAATGTCCAGGCCGAGGTAAACATATTGGTAGCGGTAAAGACTGCGTCTCTTTCGATCTTGGTGGTTCAATTTGAGTGATTCAAGTTCGTTTTTGCCCTTTTTTTTTTGGGCAAGGTTTTTCTATGTTCTAACCGAACCTACCAGTTTCTCGTTAGTAGCATCGGCACATTTGAACATAACTGGGCAAGATATGCAACAAGGTGACAAAGAGACCGCTCCTAATAGTAATACCATTTTACCAGTTTCTTCTCCTCCTTCTCACCAAGATATGGGCCATTGCAGCAAGAAGCGGAAAATACTGGATGCTGAGGACGAATTACAGTCTTATACCTCCGTTTCAGGACCAATAATTCCATCCCAAGAAAAACAGTTTTATATAAAAATTCTACATTCCCAATTCTCAAGTCCTAGATTATCTTTGCTGTCTTGTTTTTATTGCTGGTGTAAAAATTCAATTCTTGGCAGTAGCGTGCATTCGCAATTGTTCCTCATAGTAAGCATTAAAATGCAGGGCAACTTGCCATAACTTGACCCTTAGAACATGTAAACTGGTCCAACAAGTAAGAAAATGAGGTTTTGAAGATGGACCATTTACTCTGCACTTGCAGGGTTTCACACTTTGTCAGAATCTCATGGTCCACAAAGCCGTTACTTTCGGATGTCAAGCTTTGAAGCCATTTCTGAAAAATAAAAGTCTAGCAGCTAAAGTTTATAATCAACCCTCTTTTTAGACTAGAATTTCTAGCGGGTCTGTTACTTCTTTATTCTTCTCTGCTGTGCTTGTTCCCAAACCAAACCAAACCAAACCAGTTTGTCTACGTCTACTTGATATTTTTCTATTGTTCCTTTATAAAAACGAACGGGATCTAACAGATTCATGGGTGAGAAGTCTTAGATTCAACTGTAGTTACTAGGTAAGGCTTGACATTTGAACAATGAAGAAAAGGGCCACAAGTATACACTTTGGGCAAATTAGCTAAGAGGACTTTCAGCCTGTCTTGTAGTAGAGTGGAGTTGCATGCAAGGCAAAATGATTAATAGGAAGTCAAATCAATAAGGCTCCCAAATCGTTGGTTATTTTACTAGTTAAGGCTTTTACTTTAATGTCAACCTTGCTCCCTTGAGAAACTGTCAAAAGAGTTTATAGACAAAAAAAATAAAATAAAATAAAAGCATATTTCCCATGCGCACTCATGAAACATCTTGGCTAGAAAGAAACTAGGCACATTCACTCAATACTAAATGAAATTGTTGACTTTAGTGGATTCAAGCAAACAATAGATAAATATAATTATGTGTTATTCACTGTTTATTTGGTGGAACTCATTGTTAAAAAAAAGCTATGTCTGAAAAATGATTAGTTAGATGACTTAAGGTTTAAGAATGTTCTTAGCATACCATTAGCGACTTGGTACTCTGTTGTTTGAGTTTCCTTCTCCCATGCTTTCCACCGCCTCATCTACGTTTACCATGAAAACCAAGAGTGAAAAATATGAACAAGACAAAAATCTGTTTCTTATTTTTTTACATATTCGAGAAAAAAAAAAAGACATTCCAATTCAAGATTTTTTATTTAAAAATAAGATGTAATTATAATTAAAATAATATCTCAAACGTCAACTTATTTAAAATTTATCAAATTAATTAGTGAATACATGTAAAGTCTGGTGAAGTTGCAATGAAGTAACAAAACTGATTTTTGTATGTATAATGTTTAAGATGATTTACCTTTGCCCTGCCCAAAGCCATGGTGACAACGCTGTGTACAATCTGCATAACTGCCAGAACAAAAATGAATTTATGTAGCTGCTGTATGCCCTTACTTGTCACTAAGGAAACCTTTCCCTACAAATTTCAAGTCATCAAAAAGCACAAACATCAACAATTATAGGTACAAGTAACCAATTGAGGGAACAAAAAAGAGAGAAAAGAAGATACTATACTAGTATTCAAATTACATACTTCAGAACTGCAAGGATCATCAGCTGCTCCAGACTTAGTTGTAGCTCCATCACCATCAGCTAGTTGCCTATGTATTTGCCATAGAATATCATCTTTGAGGCCACTCACTGATGAGAATCTCCTCCCTGAAGTTTCACTCTCAAAATGCTGATCATAGGCTTGCACTTCTGTGATCTTGGACTTAACTTGCTTGCTACATGGAAGCATGATATCTCCCATCTTTGCGGGTATACATATATGAGAAATTGGCGATTGAGTTGCTGCCAATAGAAGTGACATGAATCCCAAAAGCATCAACTCTGCAAACAAGTAATCAGATGAACCAAATAGGTTAGTATATGTTACACATGAATCATGATTTCAAGTCACAGCAAGGAGGTAGTCAAATTATATTTGAACCTGATTTCAGCTTCTCCACAGCATCAGTCAAGGCAGCTTTTCGACGTCTCTTTAACCACTGCAATGGCTCATCATGTTAGAATCTGAGGATTATATCTCAAAAAAGAAGAAAAAAATTTGAACTCACTCACGTTGGTAAGGAGACGGATGGAGTGTTCCAGGGCAATGGAAATGGAGATGAAAACAAAGCAAACAGTGGCAAGAGCCCATGTTGGCGTGTGTTCAAGAGAGCTAGGAGATGTATTTCCAGCTGCCATGGTTTCCTGCTACTTGAGTTGTTTTTTTTTCCAGTCCAATACAATATTAATAGGTTCAATGTTATGACTGAACAAAGCAAGACTTCGGTGGGAAACTACCGGTAAGTGGTTTTGGTTTCTTCCTTTTCTTATGTTCACACTAAAATCTGATGAGAGGTTGGTTTCCTTCATTGCCATTGTTGACAGCCAATTCTACAATTTCCAAACAAGTGTACTAACAAACAAAACCTCATTGGTTTATCATAATTAATTTGAGGGAAAGAAAATTCAAAATGCAAGACTTTGTTTTGATGAGAGAGGTGTATCTGTCAGTACGTCATATTTCCATTACACCAAGAGCAAATTCATTTTCTTGAAAGAAAAAAGAAATCCCAAAGGAGAAGTAGTGGTGGAAATCAATAGATTTAGATTGCATTCATTTTCTTAATCTCCCATTGAGATTAAGCTATTAAAACATGTATAATTTTAAATGGTTTCTTGCAGGATTCCAGTCAAGAAAGGTACAAGAAATGCTTGGCTGAGTGCATTCCAGAAAGTCAAAGAGAGAAGAAGAGCAACTTCCACATTGTCAATTTTTTAATCTAACAGTTAATTAGGTTTCATAATCACATTATTTTGTTAATTATTTGTATTTCAATCTTTGAATTAAAACATTTTTTTTTCTTTCCTTCTTCATAATTATTGTAATTAAATAGCTTCTGTCTGGAAACAAAGAATGTCAAATTTCTATGTTACATGTTTTTCTTTTTTTTTTCCTCTGGAATAAAGTTTAATATGGTAACTAAGCATCAGAATAAATTACATACGAGTCAATGCAAGCCAACCTTTTAACAGCTTCACAATATTAAGGTATAATATCTAAAAAAAATTTTAAATTATTTAAGAAAATTGAAATAAATTCTTATACATTTATTGTATTCAATAAAGTTTTTATATTTTTATTTTGAGTCAAATAAACTCTTAAACTTTTATTTTGAATTAAATAAATTTTTATAATTAATAATTGATTTAACCAAAATACTATTTGTTATTTTATATCACATGATACTAATGTAATATGCTAATACATCATAATTGATGATTATGTAGCATATTAATGCGACATGATAATATGGACATTTTTTACTTTCCATCTCAGCATCGTATTAGTGTCATGTGAATATAACATAACAAAATGTATTTTGATTAGTAATAATTAACTAATTATTAGTTGTAAGAATTTATTTATTTTAAAATAAAAATACGATGATTTAAATGAATGTGATAAAAGAGTAACGACTTACTTAAATTTTCTTAAATAATTTAAAAACTTTTTTAATATTATGCCAAATATTAATCATAGATGAAATAAGAAGAATTAAAGTATTTTTTGAATCTATTAAATCAGTGATCATATATAAGCCAATACGTCATGCATAAGCATGTCATCAGCCCAATTGCATGTAGAATCATCGGGCGATAAAGATTTTCAAACAAAAATGAAAAATCTTACACAAATGTAAATTCGTACCACATTTGGAAGCCAATGGTTGATTTCACAGTGACAAAAGGAAAACATCAACGGTTCCTGATTGGGCTCAACGACTCAGAGACGGTCAACGAGGGCACTTAGTCTAGTGGTATGATTCTCGCTTAGCGTGCGAGAGGTCCCGAGTTCAATTCACGGAGTGCCCTACTCTCTGTTATTGGGTCAGAATCTATCCCTTTGGGCTTTGTTTGGGCCGATTTAAGGCTTTGGAGAACTTCTACATCTTTGAGCTTAGCAAGTAATGATTGTGGGCTGCTTTGGGCATTGT